GTGATGCTTGGATTAGTTCTGTATTTAATCTTTTGAGATACATTCCAAAATTTAGCAACACTATCATATAACTGGCCGCGAATAGATGTTTCTAATATTGATACTTTTGAAGCCAAATGAACTAGGGAAGACATGGCCCGTCTAAACGCAAACAAAATAAAATTCTTTGATTATCTCTTCCACAAAATACACAAACACAAACAATATCTCTTGTTATATAAATAACTTACAGAAGTAATTCCAATTCAGCAGTAGCTTCATTACATGCCTTAATTTCGTGGTTACCAAGGTAAAGGGCAGATTGGATTACGAATTTTTGTACTATATTTTTAAAAAAAATTTTGAGAACAAAGAAGAATAATATAACAATGATAATAAATAAAAATAATGAACATACGCATTTTTGTAGTAACGTCATCATCTGAATAAATATCAGGTTTTTCCATTAAATAAATAATTTTGTGTAATAATAAATTTTGATCACTAAAAATAAATATTATATTAATTATATTAATTATATTAATTATATTAATTATATTAATCTTATATTAATTATCTCGAATAAAGCCACAACTTTATAATTGTATCTTATAGATATTTTTTTTATACAATATAAATACTTACATTTGATTAGCATGAGCTAATTGATTTATAATTTCTTTAATTTCTTGAAAATTTCTCACCGAAGACCTAGCATTCATACTACTTTCGACATTAAGAATTTCTTCTTCCTTCGAAGAGAAAGAAGAAAAGATAGAAGAGGAAGAGGAAGGGGAGGAAGTTTCTTTGTTATCTTCATTGACATTATCGAAAAGGTGAAGGGCAGTGATAATATCAGAATTTGCAGAATCATCGATATTTTGAGGTTCAATAGTGATCTTTGGATTTTCTTCATGATTGATTTTATAAATAATTAAAACATGAAATAAAAATTCACAACAATTGTAATTGAAAATATTATTACCTTGATTATAAATAATATCATTAATGCCAAGTGATAACTCATATTGTTTAGTCACATATGAATTTGAATTAAAATTTATTCCTCGAGATAAACATAAAGAGGCTTATTTTGCGATTAAATATAATTGAAATAATTATTTAGAAATAATTATTTTATAATTGAAATAATCTTAATCTTAATTGAAAATATTAATTATTTACCATTATTATTGTTGTTGCTATTATTATTTTTGTTGCCGTTATAATTATCGTTATCGTTATTATTATTGTTATCGTCATTATCGTTGTTATCATTATTATTATTATTAGCAGCAGAAATGACGGTGCAAATGATTCCTACATTTTTATTTAATTAAAATTAATTAAAAATTAATGGAGTTGAATTAAAAATCAATCGAAGTGTAAGTTAAATAAACTGTCTAAAAAATATAACTATTTACCATTATTTACTGGATCTTTTAACAACATTTCAAAAATTTCTGGTAAAATTGTCGAATCAGGTCTTTTATCCGGATCAGCATTCCAACAATTAATCATTAAATCAATATATCTGTTTGGTATGTCGCCACCACCACCATCATTTCTCTTAAAATTACTAATATCCGGTCTTTTTCCTCGTAAAATTTCTAAAGTTAATTCGATATTATAATTTCTATCTTTGTAAGGAGGTTCTCCACTAATTAGTTCCCACATAATCATACTTAAACTATAAATTTCTGATTTCTTTGTGTACGGATTACCCCTTAAAACTTCGGGAGCAATGTAAGGTAATACTCCTACTATTTCATTTTCTATTTAATGATTAAATGTAAATATATTAAAAGTGAATTATTAAAATAATTTAAATAATGTAAATAAAAAATTAAATTATTAAAATAATATTATTAAAAAAATAAGCTACCTTCTTTCGAATCTTTTCCAAAACAAGATAAACCAAAGTCACCAATATAAATTTTATCTACAGAATCTACAAATATATTTTTACAATGAAAATCTTTATGTAATACATCCATTTCATGTAGAGACTTTAATAATTTGGAAAGAGCCAAAAGTAAAGTAATTTTATCATTCCAATCAAATTTAACATTAACTTCTTTATTGTTTTTATTTTTATTATTAACTGTTTGAAGAAATTTTCTCAAATCTCCACATTTTGCCTCTTTCATTATCATAATATAATCCAATCCATTGAATACATTATTACTGGGCTCTTTAGTAAGGCCATAAAATGGAATTGCGCATGTGATATGACATTTATGATGGATTCTGAACTATTAATAAAATTATTAATTAAATAGAGGGTGAATTAAAATTAAAATTATAATCTAAACATAAAAAAAAAAGAGAAAGAATTACTTACTTCTTTAAGATGTTGTTCTCCGAAATTTCGAAAATCTTTTAAAACTTTAAGTATTACTTTTGTATTATTATCGTTATAATTCAACTCAGCAGAATAAATTCGAGAAAATCCTCCTTCACAAATAAATCTAATATTCTTAAAAGTGTTATTATTTATCCATTCTATAAAATCATCACAATATTTTGAATTAATTTTCGTGAAATGAATGAATTCATCTATTTTTGGATTTCCACTAGAATTATTATCTTCTGTTAAAATTTCTCGAGATCGTATTTGTTGTTGTTCTGCTGTTCTCTTATTTCTTATTAGTTGAGCTCGACAGAATGGGTCAGGTTGTCCACTAGATGGTTTGTTACAATATAGGCAGATAGTTGATGATGATGATGATGATGATGATGGTACTTTAGTAGTAGTTGAAGATAAATTTATCATCATTATTTTATTTTTTCATAAAAATTCGTAAAAAAAAAATTAACTTGATATGCTGTACCAAATACGTAGTGTATATGGATATGCAGTTTTAATTTGACCATTACATTATGCTATATTGGGCATATGCACGTTATGCGTTGCGTCTCAAATTTTACGCATTAGTTTTATCCAGTATCTAATTATGCAGAAATTTTCACTGTACCGAACAAAAATGCATTCGCATTCAGTATCACAGAATTCATGTTTTAGTTTTTTAATTATTATCTTATAGTTTTTAGTGCTCATGCAATAATAAAGAGAAAATTTGTCCATGTTTCGCTAATAATTTGTTGATATTTTCACCAACTCATATGGCAATTTGTCTCTTTAGGTTTTGTCATACAAAAGTTTTTTTGATTATTGAGTTGTAATATTATCAAGTCAACAACAAATGTTATAGTAAATATTTTTATTTTTGTTTCAAATAAAGAACTTAATATACTTATTATTAAATTTAATAAATCTTAATATTATATTCAATCATTAATTTTTTGAAATTACTGTATGTATTATTACAATAATTTACATTTAAATATATGGTAGCAATAATAATAATTTAATAAAAGTAATTTTTTACAAAAATATAAATTAAATACTTCAATATGTATTCTTTGCGTCTTTTTTTTTTAAAAAAAAAGGAAAACAAGTACACGGAAATTCACTTTATATTAATTATGTTTTTTTTACAAATAAAACGGGAATTGCCTTAAACTCTTTATTTGTGTTAAATGCACAAACAGGAAAACTTAATGCTTATCCAATATAATGATTGAATTTTATGTACACTCCCCTAGCAAAAGTATTTGTGGGGTGATAAAATTCAAAAATAATTGCTGAAATTAAAATGCTAATTGTGGCACAATGAGTGATCTAAATTGTAAAAACTTTTTTTTATTAGATTCCTCTAAACTAGAGATATCATATGATATATTTTGTGGTAAAATAAAACATCTATACATAGAGATATTACGCTTCAAATGAAACTGACAAATTTATTCTTGGATCATTATCTATATCACATTTGATGGGTATTAAAGATAGATACCAACTATCTTATATGAAATTGTAGCTAAAAATAATATAATAATATCTACAACTTTAACTATTGGCATTTTTCTCAGTACCTAATAAAAAGCCTGAAATATGGAGCATAATTTGTAAAAATTTCACAATTAAACTTTAGAGTATAATTTTAAAACATTCAATATTCAACTGTTAATACTAAACTCAATTCTCAATTTAAAAATCTGAAACTTTTACAGTAGATGTTCCATATGTTAACTTTAACTGTAACTGTACTTAGTGCCATTTTTATTGTTATATTAAAAAGATAAGGAAGTTTTAATATGTGGTTCAGATTGGAATAATTTTCAGATTTTTTTTTAATTTTTTTTCAAATGATCCAAGAATTTGAAATATTTGTGGAATTAATAAAATTCGAAATGATTGACAAAAGTTGTAACATATTAAAGTTAATTTTTAATTATAAAATATGAAAAATTTTTATAAGTAGCCTTAAAGAATAAGACAAAATACATATAATATAAAATTTTGAGGCTATCTAATTTGAAATAAAAAAAAATTATAAAACCATTTTAATGTTAAATTTTCTCATGATTTATTGTAAATAGATATGAAATTTTGTAAAAACATTCTTAAAAAATTAATAAAAGATAATAATAATTCAGTAATTCATTGGATTTTCTTTATTTTCTATTATAGCCTTAATTCTTTATGGCATACTATCAATTAATTTAATTAAAAAATTGGTATCCAAATTATTCCATTCTTCATGTAATATTTTAATTAATTCTGCCTTGTTTTTTGGTTTATGCTTATGTTTTCTTATTTTCCTATTTAATTCAGATCATAAATTTTCAATTGGATTTACAGTAAATCAGAACTTTGCACAGGCAAATTAGGCTATTAATTGATTTTGATTCTTTCTATTCTTTGACTTTATTTTCAGTATGACAGGGGCATTATCATCTTGATAAATATAATCAATACCAATTTCATTCAAAAAGATAAAGAATACTGATTAAGTAATTCTATATATTTTGTACAATTAATGCTACCTTTCAATTACAACTAAAGGTCCTTTGTTATATTTTGTAAAAAATCCCAAACCATAATATCATCTGAATGCTTGACAGTTAGCTGTAAACAATCTTTATAATATTTTTTATCTTTTGTACACAAACCCATTTTTGAGAATTTTTTTTTGAATATTTCAAAATGTGATTCATCACTAAAAATAATTTTTTTCTTTACACCAATTTAATCTTTGTTTTTGAATTTGATTCTGAAATTAATGGTTTTTTCTTAGCTACTCTTCCACAGAATCCTGAACCATGAAAAACATGCCTTACAATATCAATACTAACTGTTATTTCTAAAGAACTATTAAAATTATCAGTTGATTCTATAATTGAATCTGCTCAATTGTCTTTAACAATTCTTACTAATTGTCTTTCATCAGTTTTAGTTAGTACTGCAGGTTTTCCAGTTTTAGAGGCATTGGAAATTGTACCTTTTAATTTATATTTTTTAATTATATAATCAACTGTTGATTCTGGATGTCCCAGAATTCTAGAAATATCACTATTGCTGTGGTTTCCTTTCCAAAGACCAATAATTTCATCTTTGTCAAATTAGTTAATTCTTTAAGTTTTGGCATTTTTAATTTAAAATTAATTAATAATTGGTAAATATTATTAATTATTGATATAATAATAATAAAATGAAAATATTTCACAATCGGATTTGTTTCATTTAATTATTCTCGTAGTAAATATAATTTTATAGTTTTGTCAAGGATCAACAATTTAATGCATGTTAAAAAATATAAATGTTTCAATAAATATTCAACCAAAAAATACAAAAACTTAAATATATATATATATTTAATGACCTTCTAAATCTGTTTACTTAATAGTCCAAATGTAGTTATAAAAGCGGTTCAAAAAATTGGAATGGGTCAATTTTTTAACATAAATTTTTTAATAAATTTGAGCATCAATTATTCTTTTATTTAGAATTAGATATATATGAAGTTTATATGTTATCTATATTTTATCTTATTATTTAAGGTTACTTATAAGCACTTTTCATATATTATTATTAAAAAATTAACTTTAATATATTACAAATTTTGTTAATTATTTTTGAATTTTATTGATTCCACGAATAAAATATTTCAAATTCATGTCGATCGTTTTTAAAAAATCAAAAAAAAAAATCTTAAAATAATTACCAATTGGAACTACATATAAAAACTTCCTTATCTAATAATATAACAATAAAAATGATACAAATGTCAGTTAAAGTTAACATATAGAGTATCTACTGTAAAAGTTTCAGGATTTTAAATTGAGAATTAAGTTTAATATTAACAGTTGAATATTGGACACTGTTACATATGATTTTTTCCATTATTATTTTCTTATTTTATTTTATTATAACAGTCTTAGCATTTATCTTATTAGTTAAATATTTGTTATATTATATTATTAGTATTTCCTTGTTTATTGTATTCTCTAATAATTGATAAACTGCTTGTTCTTATTAACAAGTCATCATACCATTGTTAATAGTTAATACATCTCTTTTGTAATTGATCATATATAATTCCTTCTATGCATAAACCTTGTATTGTAATTGTTTTATTTTGAGATTAGTAGTTCTTATAGTTTTATTTAGTTTTGCTTCTTAGTTTAGTATTATTTTACCCCATTGTCTTCATAAATTGTAGAAGGTTTAAATGGATAACAATGTAAACTCTATTATTTTCTTATTAATTTATATTCTTCAAATATAAATTGTTATTAATAAACTCTTGTTAAAAATTTAAAATTTCTTGATAAATATTCTTAATTTCTAGCCCTAAGTTATTAAATTGCTCACTTGAATTTAATAGTTATTTTAATATAGCTAGTAATTACGCTGATCAAAAATTTATAAATACCACATTTATTGAATATCTGATAGGTGTATATATGGGTGCATTTGATTCATCAACTAATAAATTGTTACACAGATTTCAGACTTTGTTATAAAGTAACATGTTTATTGATTTATTATTTCTATTAATTAAAGTTGTTCTTTAATATCAAAACCAAATAAAAATATAAAAAAATGTAATTAAACAACTTTATTGTACAATAGAATATGAAATAAAATGAGTTGATACAAGTTGAAATTAGACCGAAGGTTAAGTGTTGGGACTATACTTGCATGCAAAATATTCTATCATAGTAAGTCAAATTGTTTTGGGATCTGAAAGTCAAGATAGTTTTTCATAGAAGATGAAATTATTTTATATAAAAGATAAAATTTTTAAAATGTGATTTTTATTCTTTGATTAAAAATACACTTAACTAGCTACTTTTTTTACTTTCATATATAAATTGGATTTTGAGAAGATGAAATACATTAAAAATTCAAAATCAATTTTGGAAACATATATATTCAGGAAAATGGGTTAGACAATTGTATAGTCAGAACATTTTTCAGGTTTAAAGCTTCTATTTACATAATAACAGTCATAAAAATAGGTGAATATATGTAAAAATTCATGTTATCTATGTTTAGTTATAATAAAATTTTGAGTGTTTTTATGTTTCTATAATTTTATCTTTAAAATAAGCCAATCACAATTGAGAATCTATAACAAATAATAATTTTTGATTGGATAAAAACCCTAGAACCAAATGCATTCATATGAAAAGTAATGTACATGTTCACATACTTATTAAGTACCTGATAAGTATAACGGATATCTGATAAATGTAGTAAAATATTTTTTACACCTATCAGATATACTCCCCTGTCAAAAGTATTTGACCACCTGAAAATTTTTAAAAAACTACTAAAATTAAAATGCTAATTGTGCATCAACAGGTTATTTAAATGTACAAAGTTTTTTTATTAATGAATCCATTTAACAAAGGAAAGACATGTTGTACAATTAGATTGGAACTCTTGAATGATTTCATCAACATATTTGCTTTCACTTATCCAATTTCCAAAATTTTGTTGATTCCCTAAACTAGAACTATCATATAATATACTTTTTTTAAAAATTGAACATATACACAGAGAAATTATACTTCAAATGAAATTGATAAAAAATAATAAATTCAATCTTTGATTGTCACCTATATTGCATTTAGTGGATATTAAAGATAGATGCCAATTATCTTATATAAATTGTAGGCAGAAATGATATCTACATCAGGAAATTTAATTAGGCGTCGATTTACGGAATATCACATGACCTCCGGAAATTTCCGCCTGAAAAATTTG